GGGGCTTCTGGAGGCGCTCTTGGGGCGTTTTGGCGGCGTCGGCGGCCGTCCTGAGGCCATCTTCGGCGTGTCGGCTCTTTGGGCGTCCGGGGAACCCGGAAATCATGTTCCCGGAGAGGCTTCCGGGAACATGATTTCGAACGAGGCCCTCTTGGGCCTCCTGGAGGCCGTCTTGGGGGCCTCCTGGGCCGGCTTTCGGGCCTCTTGGGTCGTCTTGGGAGGTTCTGTCAGCCCCACGGGACGACCCTTTTGGGCCGTCTTGGGCCCTCTTGGGTCTCTCTTGGGCTGTGTTGGGGCTCCTCGGGGGCGTCTGGGGCACTGCGAAGACGAAGCAAAGGAATATGCTAAAAATGCACGTTTTACTAATGAAACGGGTTGATTTGTGCCTCTTGAAGGCCCTCTTGGGGCCCTCTTCGGCCATCTCGGGCCCTCTTGGGCCTCGCTGAGGCTGTCTTGTGGGCCTCTTGGGCGTCCTCGGAACCTAGAAATCATGTTCCCGGAGAAGCTTCCGGGAACATGATTTCGAACGAGGCCCTCTTGGGCCTCCCTGAGGCCGTCTTGGGGGCCTCCTGGGCCGGCTTTCGGGCCTCTTGGCCGTCTCGGGGGGGTCCGTGAGCCCCGCCGACCCTTGTGGGCCGTCTGGGGACCTCTTGGGTCTCTGTTGGGGCTGCGCGGGGGCGTCTGGGGCACTGTGAAGACGAAGCCAGCGAGTATGCTGAAAATGTACGTCTTACGAGGGGAATGGGCCGATGTTTGCCTCTTGAAGGCCCTCTTGGGGCCGTCTGCGGCCATCTTCAAGCCATCACGGGCCCTCTTGGGGCGCTCTTGGGCGTCTTCGGGGCCTCTTGAGGCCTCTTGACCATCTGTTCGGCCCGCGTGGCCTGTCGTGGGCAATTTGGAAGCGGCCCGGGGCAGTCCCAGGGGGCCTGTGACCCCCCAAAGGTTCGGGGGGCGCCCATGGGGGATGATGGCACCGGTTTTTGCCCCCCCCCCCCCCCCCGGGCCTACTCCGAAGCCTCTTGACACCCGTTTCGGTGCCTGTTGGGGGCCGTTTGGGTGTTTTTTTGCGGCCTCTCGGGGGCCTCTTGGGAGCTTCTTGGGAGTCTCTTGGGGCCCGTCTGGGAGCCCCTGGGGACGGCCAGGGGAGGGAACCACGCATATACAAGGGTGGTCGCTGCCCGGGGCCCGGGATCTCCCATATATGTATATACATTTACATTTACATATACATATACATATACATATACATATACATATACATATATTCACATGTTAATTCCAAGTCTATCTTTATTGCATGTATACATGCACCGAGATGGATAGACATAGAAAGAGACAGAGATAGAGGGAGATGCAGAGATAGCGAGAGAGTGAGGGACAGAGCGGGAGAGAGGAGGAAGAGGGTGGCACAGAGGGAGGGCGGTAGCACACGAAGGAGGAATCGGCTACAAGGATGCGGGAATGGATGATGATGATGAAACTGATGATGATGATGATGCTGATGATGATGATGATGATGCTGTTGATGATCATGCTGGTGATGATGATGGAGATGATGAAGATGATGCTACTGCTGATGATGGTCGTGATGCGAATGAGGATGATGATGATGATGATGATGATAATGATGATGATGGTGATGATGCTGGTGGTGACGATGATGATGTTGCTGCTGATGATGATTACGATTCGGAGTTTGATGCTGATGATGCTAATGCTGATGATGAGTATGGAGATGATGATATTGCTGATGATGATGATGATGATGATGATGATGATGATGGCACTGATGACGATGCTGATGATAATAATGATGATGATGATGATGATGATGATGATGATGATGATGATGATGATGATGATGATGACGATGATGATGACGACGATGATGATGAGGAGGAGGAGGAGGACGAGGATGAGGAGGGGAAGGAGGAGGAGGGGGAGGAGGAGGAGGCGGAGGAGGAGGAGGAAACGGCGATAAGAGAATCGCATGATGGAGAGCACGGAGGAATAATACGGAGAAGGAAGAGACAGAATGGGGGAGGACTTGAAATGATGTAGGGGGGAGACGGAGGAGGAGGGGGAGGATGAGGAAGGGCAGGGCGATTTGGAGGGCAGAGGCGGGGGGGGGGATAAGGGGAGGAGGGGGGGAATAAGGGGAAGAGGACGAGGAGGAGCACGAGGAGCAACAGTAGGAGAAATGGAGGGATGAGGGGAAGGGCGTAGTCCCGAGGGGTGCGCGTTTTCGGCCCGCCCGGGCGACGACCTGCACCTCGCTGCCGTGTCGCGCGGCGACGAGGCTGAGGAAGAGGAAGAGGCGGAGGAGGAGGAGGAGGACGAAGAGGAGGAGCTGGAGGAGGAAGGGTGAAGAAATGGGGAAGGACAGAGAGGTGGGGGAAACAGAAAGACTGACGGTGACGCAACTTTCGAAGGGGCCGACTGGGCCCATGGACAAGATTCAGCGCAATTCCTCGCGCTGAAGGACCTGATTGCCCGCTCCATGGCTGTGAAGAGAAGGTCCAGAAGTGGGCGCTGGAGCCGTGCCCAGACCGCAACAAACAGGCCAGCAGCAACATGGCACGATGACCTCCAGAAGCCTTGTTGACCAACGGGGGAACATCTACATGAAATGCAGCGGGAGAAGTCTCAGGCGTTCCACTGCTTCGTACAGCATGCCCATGGTGAGTGCCACAGGAGGTCCCAGATAGATCTGCTTGGGGTGAAATCCGTCAAGCGCTGAGGCAGTACCTTGACAGAAACGACGATAATGGTAGCACGGGGGAACCATTCACGATCGGGCGCAGCAACTAGAGGACTGCAGAAGCCTGCCGCTGCTGTAGAGCCTCCGCCTCGCCTTTGAGCACTGCCCCAGGTTTGCTGGAGGAAACGCCATGTGCCTTCTCGACAATGCGAAAACGCTGGGTTGGGTGAGTTCGAAGCACCTCCCAGAACGCTCGCACCTGGGCGTCGCGATGAACGTCGAAACCTTCGCAAGATAACGTGTTGTAAGTTGTGCGCGGCAGGGTGATCCGAAGCGAGAAAGTGTTTCCGAACGCTCAATCAGGCATGACTGCTGTAAATAGAGCGTGGCATAAGGGTCGCATGGGCTCGGGGCGTCACCGATCGACTCCTCAAACCCATGCCGTGCACTGTAGAGCCTTTGCCCATCCACGACAAACCTGCACCACATCCTGATCCGAAGCTGTCCTCCCGAGAAGAAGAACCCATCGTCGAGCGCGATACCGATGCCACGTGATGCTCGTGAGAGGGCAGTCGAACACCGCAGACAGCTCCATCCCAACATCTTGTAGACATATCGCCCGCGCACTGTTCAGGTTAGATCGCGCAGCTGAGGCCAGCTCGTGTTCAGCTGTATGGATCGCCTGCTCTGTCAACCCACGTGCAGCTGTAAAAAACCAAAGCTCTTGACGTGGACCGAAGGGAGGCAACGACTTGGGGCCAGCGTGGGCGCAGACAACGGGCCGCCGAAGTTGCGCGGCATCAGGTCGCAGATAGAGTCGCGCAGGCTTGTGCGGGCCACCATGCCACGGCTGTAGAATCCTAGCGTGCTCAACAGCTCGAACACCGTGCGAGCATACAAAGTGGTGAATGAACGAACGAACGAACGAACGGTCATCGCCGCAGAGGTCGGCCCACAGATGGGCGACAGGCGTGCGCGAGCACGCTGGCCCTTCGGAAAGGACCTGGAAAAACCGGCGCGGTGCACTCATCACTCATCTCCATACAAGTGCGTCGAACATGCACCATCGTGATGATTAAGCCCAGCCCTGCGAGTAAAGTCACACTGCTCAATCGCCTGCGCCTCAACATTCCAGTCAGCCCCGCCAAGATGCAACCACACGGCTTCTGAATCGAACTGACCAAGTCCGAAAGATACTGCATGCTTGTCGAACGTAATCCAGCTGCAGTGCGCGCGTGCGCTGGGTAGACTACCAAAGGCGGCCAGCCAGGAAGATCCACTGCGCCTGATGTTGTATCAGACAGCCCTTGGCCAACTCGCCGCAGGCTGGATACCTTCGGATGTCAAGATGGAGACGAACAAAAATTGCGGCACCTTCCGAATGAGGGCCGCGAGCGCAACAAACGGACGAGCTGCGCAGCATTCTGCATCTGATGCCCCGTGCAGCGCGCTGCAGGTGCGGGGCATCATTTGGTACAGTCTCATTCTTCTGAGCATGAACAATCAATGCATCGAACATTCGGGGCCTCTCCAACGAAAACCGCGCGGCAATTGCCATTGAAGGACTCGAACAACTACTGCTGTGGCGTCTCCGCTGACTGCTGTGCGGTCCTCTCCCTTTTTTCCCGGGGCACGACATGGCCGATGGTCGAGAAGGGCAGCCCGCAGAGCGGCGGCCGGGGCTCGTAAAGTTGCCCTGGCTGCCCCTGTCCCGCAGCATCAACCGCAGCAGCCGCGACGCGTGTGCGCTTGTTTTTTCCCTGCCCCAATTCGGGCTGGTTTGTTAGGCTTCCTGTTGGTAATATGGTTGAGGTCATCACCTCAAGCAGTGTTTAAATGCTTGTCGCGCCTGATGCCACGACGCTGGACACTATCCAGACCGCGACGCGTGCGCGCTTGATCCCCGAAGCATGGAGCTGCTTCGCGAAGGCCCTCTGGTCGTCAGAGGCCGTGTTAAGCGCGGAGCAGGAGGAGGAGGAGGAGGAGGAGGAGGAGGAGGAGGAGGAGGAGGAGGAGGAAGAGGAGGAGGAGGAGGAGGAGGATGAGGAGGAGGAGGGAGGAGGAGGAGGAGGAGGAGGAGGAGGAGGAGGAGGAGGAGGAGGAGGAGGAGGAGGAGGAGCCGGCCGCGCAGCCCGCCGTGGCGGCGCCGCGGGGGGAGGTGCCCACGCCGCTGAGGGAGCTGGCCCACACCACCCGGCCGGCGCCGCTCTCCTGCGGGAGGGAGGCGCCACCGCCGCCGAGGCAGTCGGCCCACACCGCCGCCTGGTCGGCGCCGCTCTCCCGCGGAGGTCGCAGCATCTCACCGGGCGGGCTGGGCTCGCGGACCGCCAGGGGTGTCTCGCTGTAAGCCTTCTCCTCGGGGGAGGGAAGAGTCACCGATGCCGCTGCTCCTGGAGGGCCCTCGTCGCCTCGGGTGGGTGCTCGAAATTCTGGTCACAACGCACCCGGGGAGAGGGCCGGGGAGTAAACGACATCGGCAGCTTCTTGTTCCCCCCTTTCCTGGCGCTGGATAGCGCCGGCGGAGGTTGTCTGGATGGCGCCGAGGCCCGCAACGATCGTGACGACGGACAGCCAATAGCAGCAAATCCTCCACCACTCTGCGTCCGCCATGTCCTGGTTCACCACGCTGCCAGAGATGCACGCCACCATGATGTGGCTGCCCTCGAAGAGAGTCACTACGAAGAGGGCCTCGAACTCCTGCAAGGCGCGCGACATGAGCGGTATATTCGACACCGCCACTGCGACCGCCACTGCGGCCAAGATGTATGGCAATGGAGTTCTCCACGCCGACCAGTCGCCAGTCTGGATCGCGCCCGACAGGGCAGAAAGCGCCGAGCTCAAGAAGCTCATGTTCCCAGCGATGCAGCCAGCGGTGCCGCCCAGTGCTAAGGCGCGAGCCCTGTTAGTGCTGCCCTTTGGGTACTTCCGCAGTGCGTGCATACTCACGCACAGCCCGCCGAAAAACACGCCAGAGTAGGCCAAAAAAGACCAACTCACGAACCTTTCTCGGAGCAAATCTAAGGTCGCTGGTGGATGATCGTGCGGCCCGAAGACTGCTGTGAACGTCGCGCCAATCGTCACCAGCACGGTGCCCACGACGTGGGCGCAAGTTAACTGCTCTCCCAGCGTGAACGGGGCCGACAGCGTGTTCCACACGACGTCCAAGCCGCTCAACGGAGCGATGAACGATTGCGGCGCCAGCGCGTAGGCCATTGAGTCGGCAACAGGTCCCAGGGCAGTGGTGACCAGGAGGCCCGACGCCTTTGCAACAGAAATGGAAGAAACCCTAGTAGAAACGGATAAGGGATCCCAGCTTTCCCCGGGACCAGCTTTTCAACCAATGTAGTTTTTGTTTACGGTCATCGGGAGGAAGGATGAGGGGGGAAGGGACGGGGAGGAGCAGGAGGAAGGAGGACGAAGATGATGAGGGGAGGAGGACGACTTGAAGTAAGTATGAGGGGGGTTGGGCCTGTATAAGGTCATATCCGCCGATCTGGCGTGTGAGTTTCTGAGAGCGTGGACTTGAGCTCGCTCAAGCTTCGCTCTGCATGGGGGGGAGGAGGGGGGACGCCATTCCCAACGCCTTTCCTGACGCACTTAGTGCTCGGGGGCGGGGGGGCCCACACCATTAAGGGGGAAGGGTGGGAGGTGGACGCAATTCCCGACGCATTTAATGCTCGGAGGCAGGGGGGTCCACACTATTAAGGGGGGGGGGACGCCATTCCCGACGCATTTAGTGCTCGGGGGCGGGGGGGCCCACACCATTCCCGACGCCGTTCCGACGCTCTGACCATGGAGGGCGAGGGGGCCGACGCCATTCTAAATGCCATTCCCGACGCATTTCGTGCTCGCAAGACGCCTCCAAGACGCCCCAACAGGTATCCAAGCACCTGCGAAGAGAGACCCACGAGGTCCAAATCGTCCAATTCCGATGGGGAAACGTACACGTTTAACTTATATGACATTTCGGCCTTCACGACGTTGCCGACGGTCTCAGAGGCCCCCGAGACCGCGTCAAGACGGCTCAAGAGGCTCCCAAGACGAACCCCAAACGGCCCAAGAAAGCGCCAAGACGGCCCAAGAAGCGCCCAAGCCGGCCCAAGAGGGCTCCAAGATGGCCCCAGGAGAGGCCCAAGAGGGGGGGGCCGAACCGAAAATCCCAGCCTTTCCCCTCATGAGGTTCTCAAGGGGCTCCAAGAAGCCTCCAAAAGGCCCCAACAGGCCCCCAAGAAGCCCCCAGGAGGCCCCAGAAGGCCCCCAAGAGGCCTGACAGAGGCCCCAAGAGGCCCCCAAACAACCCCAAAAGGCTTCCCCATCTCCCTTGCTCAATCCACTGAGCCTCAGTCCTCAAGCCTCAGGATTCTTAATGGGCCCGTACCCCAAGCCCTCAAATCTCTTGGGGCTCCCCGCGCGCCCTCTGGGGCCCCCTGAATGTTCCCGCGTGACTTTTTCGAGACCAAGAGAGGCCCAAGACGGGCCAACAGGGCCCCAAGAGGCCCTCAAGACGGCCCAAGAAAGCCCCGAATCACCGAACGACCGGTCCAAAACGCCCAAGATGGCCCCAAGACGGCCCGAGAAGCGTACCCGGAGAGTTCACATCATCAACATCAACACCACCGTTATCATTATCAGCATCATTGTGGGCACACCGCTATCATCATCACAACCACCAGTACCATCACCATAATCACAATCCTGATTCTCGTCGTCGTCATCACTATCGTCATGCTCTTCACCGTGGTCATTACGATGATTACCATCATCATCATCATCATCATCATCATCATCATCATCATCATCATCATCATCATCATCATCATCATCATCATCATCTTCATAATCGTCATCATCACCATCAACATTATCAAAATCACCACCATCATCATCGTCGTCATAATCATCAACATCATCATTACCATCATCATCCGGAGCGCCACGGATCGGCGGCACTGACCAGAGTCAAACACAATATTTTAATTATTGGCTTCCCACTGTGGGAATCCTAATTGAATTAAGGTGTTGTGTACGGTTTAATAGAGGGAACGGACTCCGGGAGAAACTCTGGTTCAGATCGGACCTGGTCTCTTGATTCTTGGGTGCCGCTCGCTACGGGAACGCACCTGCCCCCGGATCCCAGCCTGAAGATGGCGTACCGTGATTCCCGAGCGCCGCTCGCCTAAAGGACCCAACTGCTTGAACAAGGCACGCGATTCTTAATTTTGGGTCCGTTGGCAACGTGAGCGCTCGGGACCCTAGGATGTCCCAACCCAGGTTCCTGGTGCCACCACCGTGGAGAGCAGGGTGGACGCGATAATCCATCGTTGTTGACACTCAAGGTCAGGGCAATCACTGGGCACAACGAGGGCGTGTACTGGGGGCGCTTCCCAGTAACGCTGCTGGCCTAGTCCAGTTACCATGCCAGGAGGAGGAGGACGAGGAGGGAGGAGTTCGGTTCGGAGTCTTCGGAAGACAAGGCTCAGGCTGTCCATCAACGGAGTGGGGGTGGTGGAGACACTGCAAGACGGACGCGATGCAGGGTCCCGGCCACGCTACTCGCCGTGCTAGACAACCCTGACTTGAGGATGGAGAAGGGGAAGGATGAGAAGGAGAAGGAGAAGGATAATGACCAGTGCAAACCCAAGACTCCTCAACGATGATGCAATAAGTCCTCCCTCCAAATTCCCTCTTCATGGACCCCTATGAGGATCCAGTTCAACTGAGGGAAGAAATGCCCCGTTGGACGACAACTTCTTGAAAATCCGGAACTGTGCCTAAACACCACTCCTGGACCTTCAACACCGCGAATCCGTTACTGTTGAATCTTGGCCTTGGCGATCCTGAATCGTGCCCGAAGAAAATTCTGGGACTTCAACACCGCGAACACACGTAATTGATGCGCCCTGGCAATCCGGCCCCCATGCCAAAATACCATGTCTGGGACGTTAACCTTGATACTCCTGATAATCCTTGAAACTGATATAAGCTATTAAAAAACGAATGACTGCGCGCGGCGCTAAGGGGATAAACTCATGTCGAGAAGGAGCCGCACACCATCTGTGAAACTCTTGCACATCCTGAAGACAAGTGTGCGCGGCACTAAGGCGAAAACCACATTTCGAAACGAAGCCAACCTCCACTCGTCAAGCTCTTGCAAACTTTGACCGAATGTGCGCGGCACTACGGCGAGATCCACATTTCGAAAACGGCCCGCCCTCCATCCGTGAAACGCTTGCAAGTCTCCAGCTTCACAATCACAAATGGTGAAGAAATCTCACGCGAAACGCCTGGCCGCCCTACCAACACGCCTCGGGGTGCGACAGCGAGGAATTATTTACAGGAGCAGGAATGCAGTGGAGAGGGGAGGAGGAGGAGGAGGAGGAGGGCATGGAGGAGGGCAGGAGGAGGGAGGACAATGGAGGAGGAAGAAGAGCCTGGAAGCTCGGAAACGGCGGAGTCCCTCCAGGGACCCATTTCCACTCACGCAGAACCTTGACGCGCCTCGCGTGGGGCCCCTGCTGCAGGCGGGCCGAGTAGCTGACCAGCTGCTTCCCCACCGTGCCCAGCGCCGTAGCCTCGGCGGCGGGGCAAAATCGGCGGCTCAAAGATGACGCCCTGCGGGATGAGGGCATGAGGATACGAAAGGAATCCCAAACTGAGCCTTCACAGTTCGAAGCCACTCATCCACAGGGCCCCATCCCTCAGACTCCCATCGTTGAATCGCGTGCCAAAAGGGTGATAGCCCAGGGGCGGGCATTGCACGCATCCGCGTGGGAACCTCGTTGAAGAGATGGGCGATCGGAGCCCCTGTGTACGTGCAATCAATCAGAGGCAGCAACGTGGAATTGGGATTCCCCGCTGCGGTGTCCCGGCGGAGAACCGCGGGTCACGCCCGGAGGCCGCGAGGAGGACATCCACCTCCACGCCCATATCCTCCTTGACGTCCACCACCTCATCTTCCTCCGTCCTCCGCAACAAGCACCTGCCCGTGCACCTTCTGAAACAACACCACCCTGGCATCCCCCTCCCCATCGTCTTCCTCCTCCTCCTCCTCATCATCATCATCCTCCTCCTCCTCCTCATCCTCCTCCTCCTCCTCCCTCACCTCCTCCCTTACCTCCTCCCCCTCCTCCTCCACCTGCTCCTGCGCCAGATCATGAAAAAGACGCGGCAGGCTGCATGAATAAGACGGCGCCGATGCACCTACATCCGCGGGCAGCTTGCGCGCGGGTGAACGCGCAATCGATCCCCGCGGCATCGCCCCACCAACTTCAAACTAGGCGGTGCAAAAGGCCGCTTCTGTCAAAGCCTCGTCTCCCCCCTCGGGGGCGGTTAACCCACCCATCCCGCTAGCAGACCGTGGAGGCCTTGGATCGGGAATCCAGGGCCTCGAGCCTTGTGGAGATCCACTTGCGCAAAACGGGGGGGGGGAAGGGGCGCAAGTTGCCCGCCCCCAATCATTGTGAGCTCTCTACCCTCCCTCCGTCTCCTGTCCCTCCCCCCCTACTTCCTCCTCCCTCCCGCTTCCCTCCTCCCTCCCCCTCCCTCCCACCTCCCTCCCACCCTTCCTCCGCCTCAGGTCCCCTGGAGGAGGACGGCAGGTGAGCGGTGCGGTTGCAGTTGCGCGCCCGCGGGCGGGTTGAAATGTGTCGCCCAGTTGGGGTTGCGGTTGCGCGCCCGCGGGCGGTTTGAAATTTGTCGCCCAGTTTCCCGCGGGCGGGTTGAAATGTGTCGCCCAGGTGTGATTGCGGTTGCGCGACCGCGGGCGGCTTGAAATGTGTCGCGCAGTTGCGGTTGCGGTTGCGCGCCCGCGGGCGGGACGAAACGTGCCGCGCAGTTGCGGTTGCGCGCCCGCGGGCGGGTTTGAAATGCGTCGCCCAGGTGCGGTTGCGGTTGCGCGATCGCGGGCGGGTCGAAATGTGTCGCCCAGTTGCGATTGCAGTTGCGCGCCCGCGGGCGGGTCGAAATGTGTCGCCCAGCTGCGATTGCGGTTGCGCGCCCGCGGGCGGGTTGAAATGTGTCGCCCAGTTGGGGTTGCGGTTGCGCGCCCGCGGGCGGGTTGAAATGTGCCGCCCAGTCGCGGCTGCGCGCCCGCGGGGGGTCGAGTGTCGCGTAGTTGCGGCTGTGGTTGCGCGCCCGCGGGGCGGTATGAAATGTGTCGCCCAGTTGCTTGCGCGCCCGCGGGCGGGTTGAAATGTGTCGCCCAGGTGCGGTTGCGGTTTGAAATGTGTCGCCCAGTTGCGGTTGTTGTTGCGCGCCCGCGGGCGGGTCGAAATGTGGCGCCCAGTTGCGGTTGCGGTTGCGCGCCCGCGGGCGGATTGAAATGTGTCGCCCAGTTGCGCTTGCGCGCCCGCGGGCGGGTTGAAATGTGTCGCCCAAGTTGCGGTTGCGGTTGCGCGCCCGCGGGCGGGTTGAAATGTGCCGCCCAATTGCGGTTACGGCTGCGCGCCCGCGGGCGGGTCGAAATGTGTCGCGTAGTTGCGGCTGCGGTTGCGCGCCCGCGGGGCGGCTTGAAATGTGTCGCCCAGTTGCGGTTGCGCGCCCGCGGCCGGGTTGAAATGTGTCGCCCAGGTGCGTTTGCGGTTGCGCGCCCGCGGGCGGATTTGAAATGTGTCGCCCAGTTGTGGTTGCGGTTGCGCGCCCGCGGACGGGTCGAAATGTGTCGCCCAGTTGCGGTTGCGCGCCCGCGGGCGGTTTGAAATATGTTGTTCAAGGTGCCCTCCTGACGTTCAGTCAGTCAATCAGTCAGTCAATCAGTCAGTCAATCAGTCAGTCAATCAGTCAGTCAATCAGTCAGGCAATCAGTCAGTCACCGGCGGGCGCGGAATTTCACCAGGCTCCGCCGGGAAAATAATAAACAGCTGCATAAAAATAAACTTTCGGAGGTCCGAGCAGATGTCCTGGATCCGCGCTGAACCCCAATCCCCTCCCTGGCGCGCCGAGCGCGCCAGGGGCGTCGCCGGAGGCGCCGCCAAGGGGGCCCAGCACCGATCCAAGAAATCCGAACGGGGCATTTACCGGATAGTCGCGGAAAACATGGGAGGTCGGAGCCCCTGGATACGCTCGCAATGCTCCCCCACTGGTTGCTCTCTCTGCCAGCGGCCCTCTAACGGGGACTCAACTAACGGGTACTTTGGCCGGTGTCCCGGCGAACCCAACCCTCCCCGACGTGGGCAACGCTGCAATGCCAGAAAGAGGCCCTAAACTTGCAACTTTCGGCAAATCTCCAACATACCCGTTGGTGAGTCCCCGTTACGGTGCCGCTGACTCCGCCCCTGCTTGCAGCCGCCGGGTGTCCAGCAGCTCCAGCGCCATCCCGAGGAGGAGGAGGCTCCCCATGGCGCCACCCGCGCGGCGGGCGCCGCTGCTCGCGGCAAGCTGCCAGCGCCTGTCGCTCGGGCGCTCGAGCCCAGGCTGCTCTGGAATGAGAGGGAAGGGGAGAGACGAGGGGACGGACAAATGACGATGAGGAGGAACATATCGAATACGGAGGGGGGGACACGATGAGGCTTATGAGGCTTCGATTTGCGCACTGAGAGCCCCCAAAGGTGATCTGGGCTGGCCTCAACAGCCCCTCCGAGCAGTCTGGGGCGATCTCAACACCCCAGCACCGCCTCTGGCGGCGCCCCTGAGGAGCTCCGCGCCCACGGGTTGAGGTGTTGAGACCGCTGTCTGCGCGCAACCCGAAGCCGTGCCAGAGGAGGCAGAGGAACAGGTGGAGGAGGATGGGGCAACAAAGTGTTACTTCTGCTCGACCTGCAGCGTATGTACCTGCGACGTGTACGGCACACTGGGATACCCTTCCAACTTTCGGTCCCCGCCTGATTCTATGCAACTATTGCGGTGAAAAGGGGTGCACACCGATTAAACAATACACCGTACTCCACCCATCTAGGTGAATCTTGTTCATAAGCCGCCAGAGACCTTCGATACATGGCTGGGCATGCCGTTCCAACTGCGTCAACCCTTCGCAGCGATCACGTCAGGCGACGCAACAGTCAGCAATGACATCTACCCACCCACCCACCCACCCACCCACGCACGCACGCACGCACGCACGCACGCACGCGCGCACACACACACACACACCACACACAGATTTCCGTCGGCGGCTAGGCAGAGTCACTGCGCTGGCGATGGGGCGTATGCGGGATGCACGAAGCGCGAATTAAGCCACAATGCAAACACACACACACACACCCACACACCCACGCCCATCACACAACACGCACAGGCACAAACACACACACACACCCTCACACACCCACAAACACCAGCACCCACACACCCACACACACACACACCAACACAGACCCACACACATCCACACACATCCACACACACACACACCACACCACACCACACCACACCACACCACACCCAACCACACCCCACCACACCACACCACAACACAGCACACAACAAAACAACACAACACAAGACAACACACAAACACCCCCAAACACACACATACACGCTGTACGAGGGTATTTTTCCGCAGGGTCTAGGAGCTGTTCCCAGTATTGGTTAAGCCCGTATTCCTCCACTTCGTAACACAGAACAATGCAAAGCACAGCAATGCAAAACTGTGGACATACATTCACATCAATGCAACGCGATACAGACCAGTGCAAAATAGCGCAAAGCGACGCATCAACATGTAAAGTCATGCGAAGCGATACGACATATGTCGAGTCAGCCCGAGGCAATACAAGAAACATGGCAAGGCGATGTAGAGCAATGTAAACGATGTGACACGATGGATAGCATTGCGAAGCAATGCAAACACTGCTGAGAGACTCCTCATCCTTCCTCCTTTCTCAGCCTTCCCGCTTATCTTTCTCTTCTACGCCCCTCTCCATCTCCGCCGGATGATGCTAGAGGCCCAGAGAGGGTAACACCGGTTCCACTAATATCTTCCCTGCTCATCCCCTGTGGAAGTCCTGGGAGATCCCCAGAGGATTCCGACGGCCTTCCAGAGACCTCCATAGGCCAATCACATGCCCAAGTTGACCAACAGCTCGACTATCGATCCTCGAACCTCGGTCATCGCCCTCCTCCTCCACCACCTTCACCTCCTCGTTCTCTGCGGCCTCCCACCGTTCTGCTCCATTGTTGACCTGCCTTCGAGTGGGACACCATGGAAGTTCAACGATCTTCTGGTCCCACCAACGGCATTAAGACACCCCACAACTATATCACTTCAAGCTCCTCCTCCCCTATTCCTCCTTCTCCTCCTCCTCCTCCTCCTCCTCCTCCTCCTCCTGCCCCTTCTCTCCTTACCCCTGCTCCTCCTCCTCCTCGTCCTCCTCCACTCGTCCTCCTCGTCCTCCTCCTCCTCTTCCTCCTCCTCGTCCTCCTCCTCCTCCTCCTCCTCCTCGTCGTCGTCCTCATCCACCTCCTCCTGCTCCCCCTCCCTCTGCTGCTCCTCCTCTTCCTCCTCGTCCTCTCCTCTTCCTCCTCCTCCGCCTGCTCTGCCTCGTCCGCCTCGTCCCCCTTCGCGTTCCTCCGCCTGCTCCTCTGCCTGCTCCTCCTCCTCGTCCCCCTCCTTGTCCTCCTCCTCCTCCTCCTCCTCCTCCTCCTCCGCCTCCTCCTCGCCCTCGCACCCCTCGTCCCCCCTCGCGTGGCGGGGGGCGGCAGGCGGGCGTAAACGGCCGCGCGCCTGCTCGTCCACGGCCTCGGGCGGTCTGCCCAGCCTCGCCGCCTCGCCGGAGCGGGGGGGGGGGGCAGGAGGAGGAGGAGGAGGAGGAAGAGGCAAGAGAAGGAGGAGGAGGAAGAGGCAAGAGAAGGAGGAGGAGGAGGAGGAGGAGGAGGAATAGGAGGGGGAGGGGGAGGAGCAGGAGGAGGAGCAGGAGGTGCAGGGGGAGCAGGAGCCTTCTGCTGCAGGAGGAGGGGGACGAGGATACGCACACCCTTAACGCCATGTTGTCTGATTGTCTAGTGAGTACTGTACTCACTCAGTTACAAAATCGCGCAGCAATGGGCCCTGAACATTCAAGACTGACTGGAGGCAATGTGGCGCGGTGAACCTTCTCTTTGGAGTGAGTGCCCATGCCGAAGCTCTACGCACCAGGGCCGCAGACGTGGCCCCGCACGGGGCCGTCCTGGCCCCTGCAGCCACCGACGCATAAGGTAGCCACAGGAGTCTGAGGCGGGCGATATTCAGGGTTGACCGCTTGCTCTCTTAGCAATGCCAGGAATGTTTCTACTGCTGGCAAAACTAGCAAACCTCTGAGACCCTGGGTAGATCCCTCTGGAGGCCAAGTATTAAATAACTATCTGCTTTCCGGTTCGAGGAGGAGCAGGGGGAGGGGGCGGAGGACTCCGAAACCTGGGTCCAGAGAGGTCAGAGCGCACGGGCCTACAGGAAGAGGTAGAAGAGCTTGCCCCCGTAGGTCTCGATGGGGTATCCAGCACATCTTGGCGTATACCGGGCATTTCCAGGATAATATCATCAGAGCGGCTTTCGGGAACTGGCACGTGCGAGCGAGAACCGATCTCGGGTATGTTGAAGGCCGCTCGTATCAGCTTCAGTAGGTACTGATGCCTCCAAGATCTGAAAAACGTTATCTTCACACGGTACCACGCCCCTCGGCAGCGCGCAGGTCACCGTCGCCAACGGATCCCAGAATCTGGCTTGCGCCACGATGCTGATCGAGGAGGGGAGGCGCCCCCTCAGCACGCAGGTCACCGTCACCGACGGATCCCAGAATCTGGTTTTCGCCACGATGCTGACCGAAGGGGGCGCATATTTCAGCAGGGTCCCCAGGAAGGTTTGGATCTCGCGCTCCATGAAGGATGCTGGGGCTCGCCCGGACTTCCGCTGCGTCTGTGGCACCTGAGCGAGGCGCGCCATGAGGGTGTTCCGAAACTTCACGTCCCTGGTTGCAAAGGTGATCCTGCGACGCTCCTTCTGGTAAGCCTTGTCCTGGCGGCAGAATAGAATGAGCTCGCACTTCTGCTCGACTGAATGCCCGTCGTATTCCGACCACGCCGTCTGTAGGTCGGAGTGGTTCTGGGCCCCGAGACTGTCGCCGTAAGTGAGGGGCCCTTTGATTGATGAGTCCGCCCATCGCGTAGATGCGCGGGGGCCCGAGTGCGTGCGTTCTTTGCCCTTGGCCTTGGTTTCGTTGGCGTAGGCGACGGTCTGTTCGCTCATCATCGTCATGAATGCGACCGTCATCGGGGCGATGATGGCGTCGAAGATGACTCCTGACATGTCGCGGCACTGCTGGCGGAGCCTGAGGATCTGCTTGGGCATGAGCGCGAAGAGCTTCTTCAGCTTCTCGGGGATCTCGGCTGCCATCTTCTGCGAGTCCTCCTTCGTGCCGCCCTCGGTCCGTCTCGACTTCCGTTCGTCGCGTTGCCCCTGTCCACCGTCGCCGCCAGAGGCTGCTGCTCCCCCGCTCGGCGCCGCCAGGACGCCGGGCATGATGAGATAGTGACGGGAGGGGTCGAGGTGGATGCTCGTCTTGGAGGTGCCGAAAATACTCTATGCTCGATTGAAAGTCTACGGACCTCGGGCACAGAAGGCATGTCCACTCGTTCTTCTGCTCGGGTTCCCAGGACATGTGAGCTCTACCCATGATACATCTGCAGTGCCCATAAGAATGTTTCAAATGTTTGCGAGCATTGTGTACGCCTTTGAAGATACTCATGCAGTTAGCGTGTTGATGAGATATAACACCACTATGCAATATGTACTTCAGATTGTGTCCGTTTGTCTGATGTCCCATGAGAGCCCTGTAGGTGTCGAGCTGGAGGCCACATGAGTTCCCCTCGGGGTCCTTGATCATGCATGTGCATGCGTTTTCGCTTTTGGCTTCGGGGCAATGTACTTCTGAAAATAGTGTGCACCATTTATCATAATTTGCGAGCGCCGCTGCTCTCAAGATCGAGGGGTCGATGCGAGTGAATTCGTGGAGCGGGTCGGAGTTGGGGTCGACTAGGGCCCTCCATGAGAAACCAGCCGCCCCCCCAGCTTGGGGGGGGGGGGGGGGGAAGGGGGGGGGGGGGGGGGGGGGGAGCAAACAATAATAATAATAATAATAATATATATATATAAAAAAAAAAAAAAAAAAAAACTACCCCACTCACCCCCTCGTAGAGGCACAGACTGCGATGAAACCCTTGCGCCCGAGGATTTGCGTCGATACTGAGCTGTCCGTCTGGCAACAGCGTCGGTCGCTCATTCTGTAAATGGCAGAAAATCGCCGCAATAGTCTGGCTGTGGGCGCGGCGGTGGTCGAGCATGCCTTGAAGCCACCTGATCCTGCGCACTGTCAACCCTCCCCGAGCAGGGAGGACGCGAAATCTGTAGAGCACCTCTGGATTCCGAAGTGTGCGAACGCGTGGCCCATCGTAGGAAGTGGCAGCACCTCGCAATAAAACTCGTAAGTAGTTTACAGTGCAGCAGTCGAGTCTTTGATATTCTGCTGGCTTAAGGACGAATGCTTTTTAAATCCGCGATGCCACGTTCCACAACTTTGCCAAGAAAGAGCTCGCGCTTGAGGCGATGCAATCCACGCTCGTGCCAACATAGACCGATGACCGACCAGCCCGCGTGCGTAGAGCGCATTCTGCACTGCACCTCTGGAGCGTTAGAGCCGTTCATATGGTGCCGAGCTCCCAAGCGTCTAGCGCGGCTTCGGACGGTGCCACAGGACTCAGGGCAAATTTCCTGAAGGCGACGGTTTTCCTTGGTGGATCCCAAACATGGTATGATGCCTGGTTTCTGCATGTTCTGCCGAAAACGCCATTTTTCTAGAACCAGGTTCATGTTCGAGTCGCCTCCCTGGATTGCCTTTAGAGCCCCGGACGCCGAGGGATCTTCTAAAAGTCGCCGTCGAAATACATCATCTGCTAAACCTACCATCGAACAGTCCAGAGCTGTGTTTCCAAAACTCATGATAGATAAATGGGGGCCCGTCGAGCTCGATGATTTCATCGTAACACTTGTCGAAGACGTCGACGAATTGTCGAGGTGCCTCACAGGATCCTTGGAGCCCCCCGTTCTTGCTGATAAAAGCCTCAGGCTTGTTGTCTACTTCGATTAAAACTACACTGTTGATCAGGCGCTGCTTCGCGAAGTCCTGGAGATCCTCGCGCGCCATGATCTCAGAAGGGTGCGTTAAAAGGTCCTCAGACGTTGGACACAATAATGCATTCGTCATGTCGTGGAGCTCGCAAATATGGGGGATCCGGGCTTTTCGTAAAGACCATCCTAGACGTAGTTGTACTAGTATGGCCCCCTCCCTCCTCCGATATCTCAGAAAACCATGTCATCTTCCAGAAAACGATGTGTCATGCGCCTCATCTTTGCCCCCCCCAGCTATATAGTACTGAATACTAATATTTCCAAACACATTCGATAAGTGTACTATGCGTTGGCTGAACATGTTGCTCTTTCCGTTAGACTGTCAAGCAGGATCCCCTCAGCGATACTAGATTTTGTGGGCAGCTGCCCCACCCCGAAAGACCGAATCCGAATATTTTCAAACTCCAGGCGTGCTCGAGTCATCTCTGCAGTGGATACAAAGATGCGCTCACGTCCGTCAGGGGCTCGCTGATCGTCGGGGTTCGCACGGCCTGATTGAGTACTAGCTGTTTGTGCCGACTGAGAAGTTGGGGGAGCAATTTGTTTGTCAAGTTCCTCGTGCGGCCCCATGTGAAGGTCGAAGTCCACGTTGTCGATCTCTGCGAAGGGGTCTCTCTCCCCCTCGTCGGCCGTAGTCCAGCGTAGACGTGGTCCGTCGTCAGCGAGGGCGTGCTCTCCATCCGACCCAAACCTGGTCGCTCCTCATGCTTCTCGGTAGTAACTGAGTGGCCACCATGCCCCAGACTAAACTTGGAGTAGCGCTGCTTGGATAAATGTCCAGGTGCCAGAACAATAAGAACCAATTCCGATGGTACACCCCACTTTGGTCCGCAACGTCTGCCACGAGCTTTACGTAACTTCCATATCATCTGTCTGACCAGGACTGATGCAGTGATCTCCATGCTATGGCTGCGACGCTTGATCGCGGCCTCCTCGTCTAGGAAGATTCTTGGCATCTCGCTCATGTCATGGATGCAGGTCGCTTCCATGCCTCCGTCAGATCCTCGTTGCGCTAGGTGTCCCTTCAGCTCGTCCAGCGATGGCTTGCAAGAATAAATCACATTGTAACGCCTATTCTTCACACCAGTTGGTCGGCCAGAAAGTAGTCGTGCAAGCTTGTGTACGTCAGCCTGCTGCCCCAGTGAACGTGCCTCCCGTAGCTCTTGATGAAGGCGTTCGCGGTGTGCAGCTCGGCGGCGGCGAGCCCAGCTTCGAAGCTGGGATGACGTGCGTTTTATTTTCGCCAGGACATCCAGATACTCATCAGTAAAGTCGGGAAGATGACCATAATAGTTCCAATATTCAGCTGCCTCGAGTCGGTGTAGTTTGCGTTGTCTTACCAGGGGCAACCGTTCTTGCTGCAATAGATGTTCTGCTGTGTCCGTGGACTTCGGTTCCAATGGAAAATGTCGGAGTCCAACCTCTTGTGCGATCTTCGCCCAGGAGTCGTAACATTCATCAGTGTGTTGATGGTGTGTGGCGCACCCCGTGAAGCAATCAGCTTGCGCCTGCATAGCTCGTTCCAACCCCCGATGGAATTCCTCCCGCCCTGTGCCCGCCTGGAGTGCCTTCGATAATTTCTGAAAGTCCCAGCGTTCTTTTGGTGC